AGTAAGGAAAGAAGAAAAGAATCATAGGGAAATCTGGGAGAACTGTGTTTCAGGCAGAGAAAATAATAAATTCAAAGGACCTGCAAAAGGAATAGGTTTGTTGTATTCATAGAACAAACAAAGCCAGATGGCTGGAACAGAATGAATGAAGGGGAAGAGAAAAACATAAACTGAAAGAAGTGGAGTCTGGTAGGCTCTGGTAATGAGTTTAGATTTTATCTTATTTGGAGTAGGAAACCATTTAAAGACTAGGCAGATTATGATACAATTTAATTAATATTTTATAAAGATAATTTTGGCTTCACTATAGAAAATTAACCTTGAAGAGTGAGAATATAAGAAGAAAGTTACATAGGCAGAAGATCATGGTAACTGGGGCTAGAGTAAGAAGAATATGAGAAGGAAGTAGATTTAGATAAATATGGGAAGTGGAATTATCAGGAGTTGGTGATGGATTGAAAATTGAGGTGAGAGAGAGAACAAGGATGATAACTAGGTTTTGTGGGATGATGGTGTCAGTAAGTAATAATAGGAATCCTGGAACTGAAGCAGGTCTTGGATTTGCTCTTTGGGATCGATTGGAACTTGTGGTTCTGTTAAATTTCATATGCTAATTAGATACCCAAAGGAACATCCAGAATTCATTGGCAATTAAAGAGCTGAAAGTATATATTGGGGGTATCATCATATAGATAGTATTAAAGTCATAAGACTGTATGAGGTTGCCAACTTCTTGTTAGAGAATAAATTCACATCAAAACTATTAGAGGAAATATAAAATGGCAGAATCATATGAGAAATGCATATTGTAAAAATCTATGAATGGAGAAAACATTTGTTGAATGTAGGTGGTACACCCAAGATGCTTACAGAATTCATTTAGGACTGACAAGATATTTAGTAATATTAACTTACTGAAGAATTAATAATGTTCATTATAAGAAATTTAATTTTATTATTTTATAAAATTTTACAAAGAGAAAGAGTGAAAAAATATACCACTTACAAAAACAACAAACAAGCCTTAGAAAATAAACCTTCTAGGCTTTTTCTTTACTGAAGTAGTCATGAAAATAGGTCAATATTTTAACTTTTTTGTAAAACAAATTTGGAGTCATA